CACTTCCAGCTTTTTCTGCTTATGTGGTGCTGAGGAATTGAACCCAGGGCCTCATGCATGCAAGGCAAGCACTCTACCACTGAGCCACCTTCCTAGCCCTTGCAAATAATTTGTGTGTGTGTATGTGTATGTGTGTCTACCAGTACTGGGGCTTGAACTCAGGGTCTCATGCTCTTGCTTAGCTATTTCACTCAAGGCTGGTGTTCTTCCACTTTAACTACACCTCACTTCTGATATTTTTGGTGGTTAATTAGAGATTAGAATCTCATGGACTTTTTTGCCTGGGCTGACTTTGAACCTCAATCCTCAGATCTCAGCCTCCTGAGTGGCTAGGATTATAGGCATGAGTCACCAGAGCCTGTCTTATTACAATTAATTTTAAGATCTATTGATTTAGCACCCAAGAAACTTAGCATTAGCAACTGCTTACCTACAATTCATACAACTAGATAGTATCATATCTTGATTTAAAGAAATAATAATATAAGGTTCTTGTTTCTGATGTAGCTGTCTGCTACCACATTGCTGTTGCCACTGGCTACCAGAGAAAAAATTTACAAAAATAGATGTGCGTCTAAAACCTGAGATCAAAATTTACTTTTAAGTACCAAGTGAAGAGGGCAGAGTCATTTTTTTATACTGGCATTTAAAAATTTACTGAACATTGCCTTGTCTACAACATACTATTTTTTTTTAGGTTGCAGCATTAAAGAGTGCCAACAGTTTCTGGAAATAAAATCTCTGGTGTAGCTTTTGGAACAGATAAGCTTTTGGCATTCATCTGTAAGGGCCTGAGTGAGCATTTGCTTTCCCATGATCCTTGTTTCTCAGCCCCCAAATCCCAAGATAGAAACTCCTTAGTAGTCTGATACAATTGCAGATATACATATGCTTCCATGGTGAATCTGAGCATAGGCAAACATTTCAAAGGATCTTCCAGGAGAAGCTATCTTGTTTACAGCACACAGGCCTATCCTGGAATGTGAACATCCCCATGCTTATTCACACTCATGAAAGGTTGTGTGTGTGTGTGTGTGTGTGTGTGTGTGTGTGTGTGTGTATACCAGGTCTTGTCCCTTACCCTTTTGTTCAAGACAGGCCCTTTACCATTTGAGCCACAGCTCCACTTTTTGCTGGTTAATTGGAGATAAAAAAAAATCTGGGCTGGCTGCAAACAATGATCCTTAGATCTCAGCACGCTGAGTAGCTGAGATTATAGGCATGAACCGCTGCCACCTGGCAAAAGGTCATCTTTTTAAACTACCCAAATACTACATGTTGGTAGATCTGAGATGCCTCCTTTGGGGAAAGCTGAAGTTCAAAAAAGGTAACTTTTCCAAAAAGTAAGAGAGAACTAAAAATAAGTGTTTAGAATGAAAGAGTTGCTCAACTCTAATTATACTGTAGCTTGGGCAGGGTGGCATACAGCGTGATTGCCTGGCTGCCTGACTGCAGGTCAGGGCCAGCACCACACACGCAGAGTCCAGATGCTTTTTTGTTCCAACGACAGCTTTCTTTTCCCTTTTCTTTTTTCCTCTGGCCCTGCCCAAAGTACTATTTTTTTTTAATTGCTTCTGTTTGGGGTAGATGGAGTAATTGTTATCTTTGGTGATATTGATGATTGTTGATTGATGTGTTTGCTTTCTTCGTGGACAAAATTGCATTTCTTCAGAAAAGAATTCTAAGATATCCCATGAGCCTTTGAAGTTTCTTAACTGTTTTGGTTCTTTCTTGTGTAGGTACTGGGGCTTGAACTCAAGTGTCTCATCCTCTTGCTTAGCTTATTTAAATGTTCAAAGCTGGCTCTCTGACCTTGAGCTACACCTCCTGGTTTTTTTCCTTCCTTTTTTCTTTTTTTTTTTTTTTTGCTGGTACCCGGGTTTGAACATGGGGCCTTGGCTTGCTCAGCTTGCTTGCTTGGCTGGTGCTCTGCCACTTGATCTGTGCCTCCAGCCTGGCTGCTGATTATTTAGGGGATAAGAGTCTCCCAGACTTTTCTACCCAGGGTGACTTCAAACCATTGTCCTCCAAATCTGAGCCTACTGAGTAGTTAGGATTACAAGCTTGATCCACCAAATCCTGACTAACATTCTCATTTTTAATTGAAACCGAGTAATTGTATATATGGATGGGTACAGTGTGACATTTCTGCATATAAATATATGGAATGATTACATCAAACTAACCAGCCTGTCACCTCAAATATGTACCATTTCCCTTGGAAGTCCTGTCTTGGCACTTCTGAGTAATCACTTAATTGCTGTCAAACATAGTTGGATAACTGGGCATTGCTCACTTTTAAAATATTGTCTGATTTCCCCTGTGACTTCTTATCCGCTCTCTTCCATTTACGTGAAGCATAAGGCCTTTGGAATAAATAATGGATTACATCTAGATTCAAGGTAACAACCTTCTCTCGGTAATACTGATGGATAAATGGGCCTGTTGTCTGCGTCTGATGTCCAACGTTCTCTGGGTACCACTTCAACATTGGGACTGCTTGTATGTGTCTGAAAGACATGAAGGGTCAGATCTCAACTGCCATTCATTTTGCATTTGTTGGTGTTCAGATTTGTACAGCCCTTGGACTCTTGAGCCTTCACATTGTTTGCTTTCCTCCTCTCCATTTTGAACAGATGATTTTCCCAAACCCCAGATTACGGTTCAGCCAGAAACACAGTCGGCAATAAAAGGTTCCAATTTGAGTTTTGTTTGCTCGGCTGCCAGCAGCAGTGATTCCCCAATGACTTTCGCTTGGAAAAAAGACAATGAGTTATTACACGATGCTGAAATGGAGAATTATGCACACCTCCGGGCCCAAGGTGGAGAGCTGATGGAGTATACCACCATTCTTCGACTGCGCAACGTGGAATTTGCCAGCGAAGGCAAATATCAGTGTGTCATCTCCAATCACTTTGGCTCTTCCTACTCTGTCAAAGCCAAGCTTACAGTAAACAGTATGTCATCAATTTGCTTTTTGTACTTAACGATAGCTTTTAGATGCAGAAAACACTGTATGTGTCTTGTGCTCTCTCTCACGCACATTCTCTTTGTCTCTGTCTCTATCCCTCTCCTTCCTCTCTTTATTTCCTTTCTCTCTTGTCTCTGTTTTGCTCCCTTTCTCTTTTAGTTCACTCTCTTTTTTCTTTTCCTTTCTCTCTTTCTCTTCTTTTCTCTCCCTCTCCATTTTTTTAATCTCTTTCCCTCTCTGTCTCCCTATTTCTCTTTTATCTCTATGTCTGTCTCTTTCTCCATATCTCTGTCTCTCGCTCTTTCTGTCTCTCCAGGTCTGTCTATCACTCACCTTCTCGCTCTCATTCCTCACCCTGATTCCTTTCTTCTCATACTTCCACTTAGCTCTTTCTTTCACCACCCTTCACTCCACAAACATCAGGATTCGTGGTTATTTAGATTGAAGCCAGCAATTTTTCAGTTGAGCTCACTGCAGTGTCCTGGGATGAGGCAGGCAGGTATCTTATGCTCCGTGGGAGTTCACGACCAATCGTATTGATGTGGGAGGCCACAAAATATATTGCTAAAGCAGCACTATGCCTTTAAGTCAGAGATCTGGGTGTAAATCCTGCTACTGCATCTTAAAACAATGTCGCTCTGGGCAGGTGAGTTAACCTCTCTGGCCTCTGACTCTACATTGTCCAGTTAGGAATAATAGTCCTTACCTCTTGGAGCCATTCTAGCCATGAGATAAAACCCTGGGTATGAAGGGCCTCGCAGAATGCTTTGGCGTTTAGGTAGTACTGAGAAGACATAGTCACTGTTAGCTGTAGTTAATAAGCCCCAGCATTGTATCATCATCTGCTTTCTGAGATACGCATTCATCTTGACAACCGGCTTCTCACCACTTTGTCCTCTCTAACCATTTGTGCCACTGTGTGGATGGATTTGAGAGCTAACCGCAGCGATGCCTGAGGTCTGGCACATGGAAGGTTAGTGTTTAGGCCCGAATACCTATATAAATTTAGAAAAATGGCAGGGCCTCCTTCCCAGGGGAACTGAAAAAGAGATGAAGTGAATGGGCAGGGTACCAAGAGATGGATTTGCCCAAGATCTCACAGTTAATTCTGGAGGAAACTGAAAACCTGGCTAGAAAGTAGCAGGGAGACCAACTGCTGGCTAGAGTATGGGGCAGTTGGTGCTTTATCCTGAGTCGTTCCCCTGTACGGGCTGAACCTGGCTCATTACTTTTACCGCTCTCCACCAGCCTTCTGTGGCAGGTACCTGTGTTAGAAATAACCCTGTCTTACCTTTGTCAGGGAACTTGTAGATCTTTTCTTAAAGTGTCTGTGGTATGGGTGGGAATATAGGTATGTGGTACGTGTTGGGGGGCTGTGGGTATGTGTATGTACGTGTCTCTGTGTGTGTGTGCCTGTGGTATGTGTGGAGTGAGGGTGTATGTGGGTAGTATGTGTGTGGAGGGGTGTGTGTGTGATGTGTGTGTATGGAGGGGTGTATGGGTGCTGTGTAGTGTGGGTGGTACATGTGTATATGTGTGTAGGTGTGTGCGTGTGTGGTCATAGGATTTGGGAGGAGTCGAGCAAAGCTTGGATACACCCTGACTCTCCTGCCCGCCTTGCTCTCTGGGATTGCAGTGCTTCCCTTTTTCACCAAGACCCCCATGGACCTGACCATCCGAGCGGGGGCCATGGCGCGTCTGGAGTGCGCGGCGCTGGGACACCCGGCCCCGCAGATCGCCTGGCAGAAGGACGGTGGCACGGACTTCCCCGCGGCCCGGGAGCGGCGCATGCACGTGATGCCCGAGGACGACGTGTTCTTCATCGTGGACGTGAAGACGGAGGACATCGGCGTGTACAGCTGCACGGCGCAGAACAGCGCGGGCAGCATCTCCGCCAACGCCACCTTGACGGTGCTGGGTAAGGGCGCAGCGCTTATGAACGCACCGTGCGGGCCGGGCCCGAGCAGCCCGGCTCACCTGCCGGCCCATGGTGCCAGAAGGTTTGGACTTGGAAGAGAGCAGATGCCAGGGATCCTGCCCTATCTGGAGAGGGCCTGCCTTTTGTAAGCTGTGAAATGAAGGGAGCCAAGCAAAAGCTTTGGTGCTTTCCCTCCTCCACTGTACACACACTCTTCTATAAAGCACGTTGAAGACAAGAAATGTATGAGGACTGGGCATAGTAATACATATCTATATAATTCCACCACACAGATAGCTGAAGCAGGAAGATTGGGTGTTTTGAGGCCAGTTTGGGCTAGGTACGTAAATACAAAACCAAAAGAAAAAAAAATGGGTGAAGCAGTCAGGCAGATAGAGGGGGAACACGTTTCTGTTTTCTCCCGTACCAATCTGGAAATCAGAGTTCTCTTTTGATGACCTAAACACGTGCTTATTAAAACTGGAATGCTTTTTTCTCCTATATGTGTCTTTGAAAGAGTGAAACGTATTTACCTACTAATACAAGGAAACTATTTTCAGAATTTCAATGTCAGGCACTAGACATTAATTTGAAAAATTCAATGTACACATTCTGATTTTTTTTACCATCCACCCACACATACTTGTGCTTAAAAGTATTTTTACATATTTTTAAGATGTTTTATTGCCCACCCCTGCCACCACCAATTTCCTACCATTGGTAAAGGCGAAAGAGGTTGAAATAAAAATTGAAAAAACAAAAAAAACCCACTACATTTTATCTAGTCCCAGTGGCTTATGCCTAAGGTAATCCTAGCTACTTGGGAGGCTGCGATCTAGAGGCTCATTGTTTGAAGCCCACCCCAGACAGAAAAGTCTGTGACATTCCATTTCCAGTTAGTCAGCAAAATGTCAGACTGGAGACATGGGTCCAGTGATAAGAGTGCCAGCCAGATGCAAAGAAGAGAGAGCACAAGACCTAAAATTCAAGCCATGGTACCAGCACACCCACCTATAAAGTATGTTTTCTTGTTTGATCCTAAGCTCTTCTCATGAGTCCATGAATGCAGAAAAATAAGATCTCAAGGACTGTTACATTTTTTTGTTGTGAGTTTTTCTTGACCATGCCTGGTACACTGAGGGAACATGAAATCTTACTCCTTAATCTGAATGAATTCAAGTGCTAGCTATGGAAACCAGCTCTCCCTTAGGAAAGTAAAAGGGTCCCTTGTCATTCCAGAAACACCATCATTTCTGAGACCTCTGTTAGACCGAACTGTAACCAAGGGAGAAACGGCTGTGCTGCAGTGCATCGCTGGGGGCAGCCCTCCCCCGAGGCTGAACTGGACCAAAGATGACAACCCCTTGGTGGTGACCGAGAGGCATTTCTTTGCGGCCGGCAATCAGCTGTTGATTATTGTGGACTCGGATGTCAGCGATGCTGGGAAATACACCTGCTCCATGTCCAACACCCTGGGCACGGAGAGGGGCAATGTGCGCCTCAGCGTGATCCCCAGCCCCACCTGCGACTCCCCGCAGCTGGCCGCCCCCTCCTTAGACGATGATGGCTGGGCCACAGTGGGCGTGGTGATCATCGCTGTGGTGTGCTGTGTGGTGGGCACGTCGCTCGTGTGGGTGGTCATCATATACCACACAAGGCGGAGAAGTGAAGACTGCAGCATCACCAACACAGGTGTGTACCCAGCAGCATGGCCTGGAATGCCCAAGTGGTGTGGATTTATGGGTGTTGCTGTCATTTTCTTCTACAATATGTATCAGCAGTCTGAGCCCATCTCCTAAGTGGTTCATTTGGCTCACGCTGAAAGAAGGTTAACCGAAAGTAGCAAAGCTGGTGTGTAAAGACTGACACTTCATGCTCAGACCTCATCAGATTGGCTGGGAAATAAACTACCCAATCAGTGAAACATGTTACTCCTTCACAAGATGGAGAACCAGGAGCTGTGTCATGAGCTTTGCTTGCTGTGGGATTTGTGTGCGTTGAGTACGTATAGGGTCCTCGTTATTCTAGTTAACTAGAATGTGCACACTCTGATACCAACGAACCCAAGTTTGATTTAAGGACTAAATTACTATCTGATGAAAATTCTTGAGTTTTATTTTTTTATTTTTTTGTGCCATAATTGGGCTTGAACTCAGACCCTTGCGTGCACACTTAGCTTTTTCCACTCAAAGCTGGCATTCTACTACTTGAGCACAGCTCTACATATGGCTTTTTGTTGCTTAATTTGGAGAGAGTCACATAGACTTTCCTGCCTGGGCTGGCTTTGAACTGAAATTCTTAGATCTCAGCCTCCTGAGGATGCCATCTCCTAGGATGACAAGACATCAGCCTCTGGTACCTGAGTAGAGTCCTTATTATTATTAGGTTTTGGTCGTGGGGCCTGAACTCTGGGCCTGGGCGCTGTCCCTCAGCTCTTCAGCTCAAGCTGAGTGCTCTACCACTTGCGCCACAGCACCACTTCTGGTTTTCTGGTGGTTTATTGGAGATAAGAGTTTCATGGACTTTCCTGCCCAGGCTGGCTTTGAGCCATGATTCTTCAGATCTCAGCCTCCTGAGTAGCAAGGATTACAGGCGTGAGCTACCGGCACCCAGCTTTTAGTATTTTTTTAAAGATACTTGTTATTACGTTTTTTAAGAAGTAGCGAGGGATAAATCAGAAACTCAGCTCACACTTCTCAGGGTTTGAAGCCTTCATCTACCTCTCTAGATACTGCACTTAGGATGGCTTTGTCAGAGTAGCTCTTCACTTATTTTATGTGCACATAATAGAAAAAGCGTAGACTGTTGCTCCTGAGAGTCTGGGAGGGACCATGGTGATCTTTCTTGCTGTTATTTGGTTACAGATGAGACCAACCTGCCTGCAGATATCCCGAGTTACCTGTCTTCTCAGGGAACTTTAGCTGATCGGCAGGATGGGTACGTGTCCTCTGAAAGTGGGAGTCACCACCAGTTTGTCACCTCTTCAGGAGGTGGGTTTTTCCTGCCACAACACGACAGTCCTGGTAAGTGTTTAAAAATGGACATGAGTGCTAGGTATGGAGATGGTGACTTACTCCTATAGTCCCAGCTGCTTAGAAGGCAAATAGGAACATTGCAACGTAAGGCCAGCCCAGGCCAAAAGATAGGAAAAGACCCTATTTCAACCAGTCTCTGGGGTGTGGTGGCCCAGGCCTGCCATCTCAGCACCTGGGAGGCCATAGGTAGAGGATCATAATCCAAGGCTAGCTGCAGGGGAAAAGTAAAACTCCATTTGAAAATGATTACATTAAAAAATGGGGGAGCTTAGAGCATGGCTTAAGGACTAGAGCACCTGCCTAGCAAGTGTGAGGATTTGAATCAAGAACCCCAGTACTGTCCAGCAATAGGACACGAAATTGCATGACCATGGCTAGGAATTGTTTTGAAATGATACAGGGGAATGGACAGATGTAATACTATTGCAAGACATTGACACACTAGCAAGAGCTGGCCCAAGTCACTAGTAAAGTTGAGATTCAATAGTTTTTATGTCCTTTTCTCAACTGCTAGGGGGGGAAAAAAAAGAGAAGTCTTCATTTTTGACAATAGAAGACAAATAAGTGGAGTTGAATCTCTCCAGGCCCTGTACTGCTTCCTTTAAACCACCCCAGAATATCTTTCCTGACTCCTTCTTAGTGAATGTTTACCCATGTGAAATGGTTTAAAGTCACCTTAGAGAACTCTTAATTCTGACCCTACAAGGGTGAGAATTTTTTTTTCTTTTTTCTGTCAGGGGTCATTTGGATATTTTAACATCATCTAAAGGCCATTCAAAATTATCAATACAGGCAGATGGCCTTCAGCAACCAATGTGAAGCATAGGAAAAGTAAACATGTTTGAATCATCACAAACCAAATGATGTAGGCCTTATACAGCCAGACTGGGGTAAGATTGAAAAGACTCCCCACCCCTACTTTAGATGGTCCGTGGATTTGAGGGTAGTGAGCGAGGCTGCCTGACACAGTGGACAGTGACAGTCTTTCCTAGCTAAATGTCTATAAGAATATATTGAAGCTGGGTGCCAGTGACTCACACCTATAATCCGAGCCACTGAGGAGGCTGAGATCTGAGGATGGTTGTACAGAGTCAGCTTAGATAGGCAAACCCAATTAAAAGCCAGATGTGGAGATGTGGCTCGATTGATATAGAGCACTAGTTTAGGAGCATGAGAGAGGTGGGGGCGGCGGGAGAGAGGCAGGCAGGCAGGCAGGCAGGCAGGCAGGCAGGAAGGAAGGAAGGAAGGAAGGAAGGAAGGAAGGAAGGAAGGAAGAAAGGAAGGAAGGAAGGAAGAAAGGAAGGACATAGTGTGTGGCACCTATTGAGAAGTCCACAAATGGAAGTTAGTGGTGTTATTTTTCACACAGTGAATCATCTTTTACCCCAAGCATTTATTGAGTGTTTGCTGTGTGCCAGGCTTCCTAGGTGGGGCAGGTATACTTGTTTTCAGTTTCACAGGGTAACCAGCAGTAAAACAAATGACTTCTCGCTCAACAAAGCAGGGAGAAGGGGCTGTGCCCAGAGAGATGAAATCTGAGCATAAAAGTGCACATTCTGCTTAGATGAAATTGGTGGCAAACAGCAGAGACCTGCCCCCATTCAGAGTAATGGGTCTTAATTGACAATATTGCCAATTCCTGGACAGCAGCATCCACGTCTAACTGGCCTAGTACCTTTTGCATTTAATTGAACTATTTATAAGATGTTGTTTTGAGGGTTTTTTGTTTATCTTGTATGCTGTGTGTGTGTGTGTGTGTGTGTGTGTGTGTGTGTGTGTGTGTGTGTGTGTACTGAGGTTTGAACTCAGAGCCTGGCACTATCCCTTCTTAAGCTTTTTCTCTCAAGGATATTGCTCTACCACTTGAGCCACAGCTCCATTTGTGGGTTTTTGATGGTTAATTGGAGATAAGAGTCTCTCAGACTTTGCTGCCCAGGCTAGTTTTGAACCATGTTCCTCAGCTCTCAGCTTATTGAGTAGCTAGGATTATGGGCATGAGCCACCAGCCCTTGGAGAAGTTGTTTTTGAGTATGCCTGTCTTTTAACTGGACACTGATAGGTCATTGGTCTTTTGCCAATTCCTGGTGTAGTCACCTGTGACATCTTGTAGAAAGAGGCCAGTGCTGACAGATGGAATTCAGACTGTGTCTGCTTTGGCTGTTGGGGACCACACACAGAGCTATTTCCCTTAGAGACAGGATGGACCTGGCAGCAAGACTGGTCACCTCGCCCAGTGGCTCATCAGGCCCAGATTCGCCCACTTATGAAGCCAAAGGACTCCATAAGTTTGAAAGAAATCCATCCCTCTGTACAATTTTGGTATCATGTTGTAGCTAAGACCACTTTCCAAGGCAGAAAACGTGTGTGTGACTCCGCTGTATGTTTTAAAGGGACCTGCCACGTGGATTCCAGCAGTGAGGCTGACGTGGACACTGCCACGGACCCATTCCTGTGCCCCTTTCTGAGCTCCTCGAGCCCTGTGTATTTGAAGGCGAACGTGTATGGCCCGGATCCCTTCGAAGCCTATCATCCAGGTAACATGGTTTTCCTTGCCAGGAACTCATCTGAGTCCCCGGGAGACCACTGCAAGTGCTAACTGTGTCCTCTTCTGGTGTGGATTTCAAATTGCAAAGGTTGCAGCCCTGACACAAGGACAGCTTTGATGGAGCACTGTGAGCCGAGTCTTCTGAAGAGGAAGGACTGCTATCCATGTCCACCACCTATGGAAGAGTCTTGTGAACAGAGCTGTAGTAACGGAGCATGGCCTTCCCACGGGAGGAAGCTAATCAACCCCACGTACACCCAAAATGAAGGGCCCATGCTGAGAAGTCTATGTCTCAACAAGTCTTCTCTAGATTTCAGTACAAGTCTAGAACCAGCATCTGTTCCTTCCAGTAATTCTTTCATGGGTAAGTCTGTGAAAGCATTAGGTTTCTATTTTGTATCAGTACTGAGGCTTGCCAGTAATTAGGGCTTGTTCACTGTTCCTTAGCTTTTTTTCTTTTCTTCCCTTTTCATTTTTTTTACTCAAGGCTGGTACTCTACCACTTGAGCCACAGCTCTACTTCCAGCTTTTTGCTGGCTAATTGCAGATTGGCTAGGTTGGCTTTGAACTACTTTCCTCAGATCTCAGCCTCCCGAGTCACTAGGATTATGAGTGTGATTACATTTCTTAATTCTGGCCCCATCTCCCAGTTCTGAGTATTAGAATTATCAAACCTCTGAAAGTGAATTTTCCCTTAACAGCATCTTCACAATAACCTCTTCGTATGGCTGTTTCTGAACTCAAAGACAGGGGATTTTTACGTGATGATGGATTTAATCTGTAGCCAAGCCTTGGGCGCTTTCTGGGTAACACTGTGTGTGGTATCCAGGAGGCAGGAGTTGGGGGAATGACTTCGGAGCTGAGCTTGTCAGCCATGTGGAAAAAGTGGTTTGAGGCCCCAAGCAGCCTTTGGGGTGGAGTTGCATGTGTTGCATGACTGTGGTTTGGTGTGTCTGGTGGCTTCTAACTGAACCCGTGGTGGGAGGGTGGAAAAGACCATCTTACCTAGCAACAGCTGCTCAGGCAGACAAGCTGGGCAAGCTGCTGCCAGAGAGGCCTTCAGAAGTGTCCAGCCTAGTGCTGGTGTGAGGCACTGGCTGACAGCACCGAGATTCCATTGTGCGTTTTTGTTTTTTTTTTTGTCTAGTCTGTGGGAACAATGAGAATGAATGGAGCCATATGGGAAGAGGAGCCACAATTTGCCTTGGTGTTTCTTTCCCTTTATTTTTTCTTTAATTCTGCTTCTGTCAAATTTTAAACTATTTTATATCCAGCGTTTAAGAAGTTTTATGTTTTACTATGTTATTAGTTATATTTCTTTTTGAAACAACTTGAACCTATATTACGAGCCCAATGTGGTTAGCTCATGCTTGTGATCCTTGTTTTACTCAGGAGGTAGAAGCAGGAAGATGGCAAGTTCAAAGCCAGCCTAGGGTAGAGGTTTTTGGGAAGACCCTGCCTCAAACATGGAAGTATGTCAAACAGAACTTCAAGTGGTAGATGGCTGGTCTCAGTACCACAAAAAAATTAAATTAAAAAAAATAAAGAAAAAGACAAGGAAGCAAAAGAGGAGGAAGAAGAGGATTATTTTGAAATAAAGTTGTTGTTTTTGTTTTGGGGTGGTACTGAACTTCTTACTCAGGGTCTCACACTTTCTCTTGAGCCACTAGCTATCTATTCCTTTTCTGATTTATTTTTCATATAGAGTCTTGTGGGTTTTGCCTAGGGCTGGCCTTGGACCATAATCTGTACATTCTAGCTTGGATGTTATAGAAGTGCATTTGTTGCGATGGGGAATCTCCCTAACTACAAGGCCTGGACTGGACTTGAATCATAATCCTCTGCAACTCTGCTTCCCAAGTAGCTGGGATTATATTATAGACATCATTCCTGGCCCTTGAAACTTGCTATGTCTGGGCACAATTAAACCCTCATATAAGATTATTATCCAAATGCCCTTTATAGAGAATCATAGGCTGTCAAGGCCTAAAGCAAGGAATTGGCCAACTTCAAGAATGCATAGTGTAATGATTAATATTACGGTAGGTCATAGCAAGTGATAAAGAGTGGATGCATTTATTTGGGGATAAATAATAATAATAAAATAAAAGGGAGTGGTTGACCTCCACTGCATCGTATAAGTATCTAATAGCATAAATAGACAGTCCTCTCCTATATGGGAGGACTGTCACATGCACTTGTAGGAAAATCCAGTGCATGCCTGTGTGGTAAGGTACCTCCTTGTTTGCAGGGTTTTGTTGCACTAACATGTTGGTAAAAGGATCCAGGTGCTCAAGAGCTCTTGTTCTTTCAGGTACGTTTGGGAAGTCTCTGCAGAGACCACATCTCCACGCCCCTCCCAGCTTTCCTCAGCCCTCAGATTGTCAGCCCAGAGCTTTGCACTTGAAAACTCCCTCCTCCCCCAACCTGGACTTCGGGTCAGAGGTTGGTGAGAAAGAAAATACAGATTTTCAAGAAGAAAACCACACATGTGCCTATAAACAGAGCCTGGAAAACTACAGGACTCCAAATTTTCAGTCTTATGACTCGGACACATAGACTGAATGGAACCAAAGGACAGTTTCAACATACTACCTCACACGGACCTTTATTTAAAAGAGACAGAATCTTATGTTTTTAAATGGAGTTATGAATTTTAAAAAGGATAAATTGCTTTATTTATACAGATGAACCCAAATTACAAAAAGTTATAAGAAATTTTATACTGGGAGTAATTTTCTTATAAGAAATACCTTTAAAAATATTTTATAACTTTGTTTTATGCAAGAAAAAAGTATCTTATGTAAATTAATGGTATAAATCCATGACTATTTTATGTATTTTTATAATGCCAGATTTCTTTTTATTGAAACATGAATACTAAAGCCTTTGAAATAGTACCTACCGCCTTGTACCTTTTTTGAATAGACATCCCTTCATTTTTACTTTTTTGCACATTACATTTAATAAAACATATCATTTTGGTGCCAAACCCCATTCATCCAAAAAAGAATTATGATCATTTTCAATACATTTTTAGACTGAATTAATTCATATTGCTCTGCCTCAAATTGATCAAAATATATTTAGCTCATTAAAATACAAGCAAAAAAAAAAAAAGCCAGGCTGGTAGCTCACACCTGTAATCCTAGCTACTCAGGAAGCTGAGATCTGAGGATTATGGTTCAAAGCCAGCTTTGACAGCAATACTAGCACACATACACATAAATATACACACACACACACACACAGAAAAACAAGTAAAAAGGACCATTTGTCCTTTCTCCCAAGTGTCATACAGATTCTTGAAGTATGTTGTTGTATGTGAATGCAATCTATATAAGAAGCTACAGATATAAGATACATTCATTTTTAAATCTACAGACAGGAAAAAGATTTACTGTTACTGTTTGGTGCAAAAAAATACAAGCACTGTCAGCCCATGCTCCTTAGTTACAATACCTGTGCTTATCCCATTTCCCATTCCTGACTCCTGTTGTTGGAACAGTAGGTTGGCTTAGCTGGAGTTCCTACAGGCAACATGGTTCTAAGGGGTGAATTTTCACCCTGGCACTGCTCAAGTCACAGTGGATGCTGGTGAAATTCTTTTCTGTTCTTACTTCTTTTTTAAAAAAAAATTTTTGCTGAATGAATGTATATGAATGGTTCTTCTGAACCATCATCATACAGTGTTCTTCAGCAATTAACAAAATACTTCCCTAATTTCTTCATCAATTTTCCTTAATAGTAACTAAGAATTGAATCTGTTACTTAGCCACTCTTAAAATGTTTTAATTTTGGTATGTGGCTGGGCAGCAGGGCTCTATCCCTTTGGTTTTTCTGTTCAAGATGTGTGCTTTACCACTTGAGCCACAGCTCTACTTCTGACTTTTTGCTGGTTAATTGGAGATAAAAGTCTCTCACACTTTTCTGCCTGAACTGGCTTCAAATTGCAAAACCTCAGATCTTAGCCTCCTCAGTAGCTAGAAATATAGGCATAAGCCACTGGCTCCTCATAAAACATTTGTTTTAAACAAAATTAGGTGGACATGCTTATACACAACAGGCCTGCATAGCGAGGAAGATGGGCTTAGTGCTGTTTTTAAAACTGGATGACATAGTTTTTATGAATGCAATGAGCTTACTAAACTTGGTAATACACTTGATAAGACTTGCCTTTTTTCCCCTCAGGAATTTATTGTTTATGCATGTAGCTTGGAGAAAGCCCTGTTGTTCGAGATGAATTGTCCTGAAAGGGGGTTAAACAAAAATGAATACAAATAAATTCAATAAAAATAAATTTAATAATTGAATAAAAATAATCTGTACCTTCTTAAGTTGAAGGTGCAGATTTACACCACTGTTGTTTGCACTGAATTGAAAACAGCTCCCGGCAATGCAGATTCTTGTTGGGGCATAGTTGGTGGTAAAGGCTTTCCTGCTTCGTGAATTCAGGCTGTGTTGTATATGAGCCAGGAGCCTGAATCCAGCCGTGAGCTTCTTCCCCTTTAACTAAGATGCCATGGGCCAAGGCAAGAAATGGATCCTTCCATTCTCCACCAGCGACGAGGACACAGCAGTTTCCTATGCTTTGCTTTATCATAGGGTCAGATTTCCAACATTTTATTATTCATGTGTAACAGATGTGTTTTGAGCAATAAACTTCTTTCAAAGAACTTGGTTTTTCCAGACAGAAGCACAAAGATTTAAATCATTGCCCGAAATGGAAGAACAAGACTCGTCAAGTTGAGTTCATCTTTCTACACAACTTATGCATTAAAACTTACAGATTCAATGTCATCTGAATCTCTGTCACTGAACTTGATTTCTCTTTGACACTTAGAGGAACAGAATACCTGTTGAGACTTTGGATTATTTAACTGTGTGAGTATGTGGGTATTAAGATAAACTAAAATAACTGAAGTGGAAAGCCAAGTGGAGGTAGATACTTGTGTCATATGTTTAGTTATGTTTTAATGGTTCTAGGGACTGAATTTAGGACCTTGTACATGCTAGGCAATTGCTCTAACCACTGACATACACTTCCAACTTTGTAATCATCTTGTTTTATATATGAGGAAGAATGCTTGAAACTTTTAAATGTTCCAGTCTATTAGACCACACGACATGGACTTCATACCTTCATAGATATTCACACAACATGGGAAATAGTTCCTACATATTCATGTATATATAGTTTAGTTCATCCTGGTGTTTGAACTCAAGGTCTCCTGCATCCTAGGCAGGCCACTCTACCACTTGTGTCAATCCTCTGGCCCTTCTTACAATTGCTTATTTTTGAGATAAACGTTTTCCCTGAGCAAGTCCAAATCACAGTCTGCCAATTCACTCTTCTTACCATAGCTATGATTATAGGTGCACATCACCACACTTTGCTTTTTATTGACTGTGAACTTTTGTTCTAGGCTGGCCTTGAACCATGATCCTCCCTATCTCAGCCTTCCGAAGAGCTAGAATTATAAGAATGAGCTACCATGACTAGCTTATATTATTTTTTTCCCCGATTTCACTATTGACTCTAATGATAAGATAGTTAGCATGTTTAATCTTATCTCTCTTTGGATTTTGGTATCCTTTTATAAAGATTAAGTACTTATGGAACATACATAATTTCCATATCCTTGTTACTGAAGGAAATCACAAATTATTGACTCTCAGAAGAAACTCATTCATAGTACTTTTAAAATACCAGTCAAAAAAGGGAAATGGTTTGGTGTTTGTACACACGGAAGGATTTTAGTGCTCTTGACAATGTGGTAGAAAGAATTTATAACCAATAGTATAATAGTTGTTGTTACCCTGGTATTTTCAAAGAGAACAAAATCAAATGTCATTATAAAATGTCTTCTCTGTCTTTTCACTCTTGGGAACTATAGTGATTGGACTTGTCTAGTAGGATAATTTAGAGTTATTTTTTAAAGACAGTCTTCCATTAACACATCAAGTAACACAATGTCTTGCCAAAAAAGCTATTAGTCTCCAAAGTGAGGTGCCCTTTCTTTATGATTTGAATAATTTCAATACTCCAGAAATATCCACTTACCAGGATTCCTGAAGCTAACCTCTAGTGAGAGAACAATACAATAATCTTATAGAATTAACCCAATAGTTGGGACCTTTATTTAGAAAAAAAGGGGGGGGGTTCAATCAGTGCGTAGAAGATTTTTGGAAGATGTTTATTTAGATTTACACAATTTATCAAGTCTCTTCTTCCTACACAATTTTAGATTGATTTGATTTCTACTCACTTGATGTCAAGAATTTGAAGTCTGTGCCTACCATTCAACATCCTTTAGAGAAGGAAACTTGACTTCTCTTTGGGGCAGGCATAGATCTTCAAGAATTTTTTTTTATTTATTTTATTTTTTTATTTTATTTGTGAAGATACTGTACAGAGGGGTTACAATTACATGGGCAGGATAATGCGTACATTTCTTACCAAGCATTGCAGCCTCCTCCTTTGGTTTACCCTTCACATCCCTTCCCAGCCTCCCCCCTCCCCCCCCCCCGATCTTCAAGAATTTTGATCACAGGCAAGAATGTTAACAAATTTGTTTGTTTAATGCTATGATTAAAAGCAGGGCCTTGGACATGCCAAACATAAATCCAACCACTGAGCTACTCTTCATCCCTTAGCAGGTTATTTTATGGCTTTCTTGGTAATAGATCGAAGAGATAAGGTTGGAAACAAGAACATAATTATGTGGCATTTCCACAATCCAGACAAGATTTAACTGTTGCTGAAGGTAGTGAGGATTATATTATTTCTATATTTTATATTTAGTCCACAGAATGTGCTGATAAGTTGAATGACAGACAAAGTAGAGTCATGGGTGACCAAAAACATTGTTTGTGAAAGGTGAACTTCATCTCAGATGTTTAATGTCAGATGGGGAGCATGGTGGAAGGATCAAGTTTGTAGAAGAGAATGTCAGCTCCACTCTGCACAGATGTGTGAATTCTGAGTAATAATCTAATGGACATTACAAGCTGGCAGTTGAATACATGAACCTTTTGGTTTTAAATGTAAAATCTAAGATATGATTTGCATAGAAATCATATTTAAGCTGGACACGTGATTATTGCCTGTAATTGTAACTTATCAGGAGACTGAGATCTAGAGGATAGTAGTCAACCAGGGCAGAAAAAGTCCTCAATACTCCATCTCCAATAAACCAGCAAAAAGCAGAGCTAGAGGCATGGCTCAAGAGTGGCACACCAGCTGAATAAGTAAGCTGAGTAAATGTGAGTCCCTGAGTGTAAACCTAAGTCCTGACAAAAGATAGCTAGCTAGCTAGCTAGCTAGATAGATACTTCATTTAAGATATTTGGAACAAACTAATTCAGTGAGTACAGGCAGGTATCCAAGAATGAACTCGGGGACTATCCACTAATAAACAATCTGGAAGATGAGTTTACTTTCACAGAGGTCACACTGGGAAAGCTAAGAAGTGTGCTAAGGAGATAAGAATTAAAAAAAAAACTTCCTAATAGACACAAATTGTATCAGACTTGACCAATGCTTCTTATTTATCCATGGAAACCAGCATAAAGAATATCATGCAAATAGATGTTTACAGGTAAATGGAAGTTACAAGTCAGGTGTGCAATCTCAGATTCATGTTAGTTACCTAACAGGGCTACCTTACTAGCTCAAAGCCTCATACATTTGCTACATGTAAATTAGATATAACACTTGCTTCCATGTTTCTGTGAAGTTTGTACTTTATGTAATCCTAACACTTACATAAAGATAGTTACTACTATGATTTTATTCATTCTTATTATTATTGAACAACCCGTATCTTACATAACCTGATTTTATATCTGCCAGTAAAAAAGCCTCGGACAGATGATCTGTGATGGAACAATAAGACCTACTGCTATATCTACTTCCTTATTCATTCTGAGGTTTCAGATTTAAATGAAAAAACTGTATTTATGATCATCTTTAAGGATCTTG